CTCCGATAGGAGTCCAAGATGGCGGATCCGCGCTGCGTTAGCTGGTAGGGGACCTCTGCATGAATCTCTCCTCGCTCTCCGTTCTCTGCCAGTTTTCTCACTCCATTTGGTGCTTGGCTGAGTTCTTTATCTCTTCATTTGATGTTTTAGGGTTTCATGATTGTTGTATTCTCTGTTCGGCTTAGTTTTTCAGATCTTTGCTGTGGAGGGACAGCGTGGTGCTTCTGCGTAGGGCGCCATTTTGCCCGCCCATCTCCTCAGCACAATTTTAATACTAATATTGATGTTACTATATAAACACGAAACTACTTTTAAAACAAGGTGATTTACCTATAGGAGTATATCTGAAAATATATCATTTACTCAAGATTTATAGCTCCTAAGAGGAAGTGTTATGATAGACATTTTTCTATAAAAGTATTCATTAGAATAGCTAAGCTAATAATGTACATTTAGTTTCAAAATTCAACAAATTTTCTATAACTTACTTCTGTAAATGAACTTGTATGCATGCTATTCTTGAGCAATTTACAAAATCAAAATATACAACAAATGAAGATCAACCAAGGTAGGCCTATGCAACTCACTCTTTGGAGGGAAACCTTCACACTTACATTAAAACCTAAATAAAAAAAAAAAAAAAGCCAGAAGTACCCACTTCATGGAGGGCAAATGTCGTAGCACCACATCAACAGCGTGGACAGGGTTAGTGCTGATTGGCTTGTCTAATTCCAGTGGCTCAGGCAAGGTCCGTCCTGTCAGCACTTCATGCAGTAGATGCCAGCTCACTCGAGAAACAAATTTGATTGACACCTTGAAAGGTCGATCTTTTCCACCTTCCCCAGGTAATGTAACATCTAAATCTACCTGTTAGGAAAAGAGCCAACTGGTAAATGTTGAAAAAGAAAAATACAATTGTTTTTAAGTTTAATTTATAAAAATATCCAAGAAAAACCAATGCAAAAATAAAAAATCAATCTCAATGGACTAAATTTAAAGAATACGGTTATTCATGCTAGCATTACTTGTCCTTGCAAATTACTGGAAACTAGCTAAATGCCCATTTAGGCAGCTATTAAAAAAAAAATGAGGACTATCTCTTGGAATTGCTATGGACTAATTTCCATGCTAGGGTGTTAAATGAAAAAAGCAAAGTACAGAAGATTACAAATAGTATGTCATATTTTGTGTGAGAAACAAGGGAAATTGAGAAAATGATCATATATTTGCTTATTTAAAAAAAAGAAACACAGGTAGTATGAGTCAGAAACAAAGAAATAGGTTACTTTCAAGGGATGAAAAGGAATGATTAACAGAATAAGGATGGAGTAACAATTTTGAGTATTTTTTTGGTATAGTTTGGATTTTTAAAAGCATGTAAAGTTCCACACATCAAAAAATTTAAAATAAAATGAACAAGGATGGCGGAAAAAACTAAAACTGAATACAAACTGAATCAGATGCACCCCAATGCATTTAAAATAAATAACATAACCACACTGAATTGGGGGAGAGGGGGAAAGAAAACACTACTGCAAGTAACTCTTGAATGCAGTATATTGACTATTTCTAAGTTGGGGGTATGGGAGAGGCGTGAGTGGGGAGGAAAAACTGCATACAAAACAAAACTGAACTTTTATAGATAGGTTTTTTTTTTGTAGTGGTATTTTTTGTAGTGGTACAGGAGTAGTAATTTGGAAACTATTTTATATTTACTGTAGGATCGAGCAAATGATTAAAAATGGTGATGTTTTAGGAATCAGGGTCTCCTAAAGAAGAAGGAAGATACACATATGGAATGGAGGAAAGAAAGGAAGAATCCTGTGGTGATAGATTGGAACTGCAAATATCAGGGTAAACTCATGATTTCCTTTACATACATACATACACATATATACACACAAACACACACACACATATATACACATACATTTATATACATATATATGATTTACTATATGATAGGTAATACTGGTGCAGTGGTTGAGCATTCAGCTGCTAACCAAAAGGTCGGCAGTTCAAACCCACTATGAGTCGGAATCCACTTGATGACAATGGGTTTTGGGTTTTAGGTAATACTTATTATCTATCTTATCTATTTTTTATCTATCTATCTATCCTACCTCTGTCTATTGAAAAGGATTAGAAACAGACACCCTAGTACCAATAAGCACACCCAGAACCCAGATTTTGGTTTCTAAACTGTATCCCCCAACTAAAAGAAACCAGGGCTCCTCTGAGAAATGGTCAGTTGCAAGGCTGCAGAAGGGAAAAAGAAGCCTAGAATATATCTTGTGCCAGAAAGTAAGAACTGCTTAAAAAAAGAGAGAGAGAGAGAGAGAGAGAGAGAGAGAGATGTGTGTCAAGTCAAAAGGTCACAGGGGTCAGCTTGAAGGGGCTCTCACTGGTCAAATCTGGGACAATTTGAACAGTTAAATAAAGATAAATAAATAGGAGAAAAGAAAAAGCTCTCCCTTACAGTAGAATACCAACTAATAAATGAAAAAGGAATGACAGAAAAAGAAAATCACCATTACTACACAGTTATAATCCTGTCAAGTAAGAGTCATTAATCACTAGTGGGTGAGTCTAATGAGAAACAGGAACCTTAAAAGTATTTCCCAACAAGATACTTATTAACCACAAAGAAAAAAAAGTTAACTTGACAGGAGAAACTTGGCAGATACCAACTTAACCAAGTAATCAAAGTTAACTTCACCATTAATGAAACAAACATATATCATGTGTCTCCTGATATGATGCACTGATAAGGAAATAACACTTATGTAATATTCAGGCCAAATATACATAACCAGAATTTAACTGAGAGAAAGCACCAGACAAATTCTAACTGAGTGACATTCATCAAAATAACTTGCCTGTAATCTTCAACAATGTCAGTGTCATGAAAGACAGAATAAAAAGCTGGGGAATTGTTCCAGAATAGACATATATCTAAATAAAATCATGATCCTGGGCTGGATCTTGTAATGGAGGGGAAAAAATGCTATAAAGGACCATCACTGGAACAATAGGCAAAATTAGAATACAGAATGTCGATTAGACAGAAGTATCTTATCAATGATCAATTTAGTGAAGTTGGTAACTGTACTGTGGTTTTTATCCTTGTTCTTAGGAAATATACACCGAAGTATTAAGCATTAAAGGGGTATGAGGTATGCAATCTACTCACAAATAGTTCATGAAAACATAAATAAGTGTGTATGTTTATCTTTCTCTCTATATAGCTATATCTATAGCTATAAAGAGAGAATAAAAGAGAGGGAAAAGAGAATAAGACACATGTGGCAAACACTAAGAACATTGCTGAATCTGGGTAAAAGGTCTAAGCCAATTCTCTGCATTATTTTTGCAGTTAAGTTTGAAATTACCTCAAAATAGAAAGTTAAAACATAAAATGACACACACATGCATACGAAGTAAAATAAAATAGCAATAAATGTATTTAAAAGTAGACATTGCAAAAGTATAGCTTTCCAATATAGAAATGCACATCTTACCCCAGTAGTTGCCACAGGAAGTGGATTGGCTGTGTAAAGGCTTCTTTTTCCATCATAAACTGGTCTACGGTCCCCAAATATAGTTACTTTAAAATGCTGAACCATTGAGTCAACCACCTCCCTAAAGAAGGGAAAAAACACATTCACACAATCCTCTGCAAAACGCAATACAAAAATTTTAACTGAAGTAATTTCTGGCATTGTTTCAACCTGCTAAAATTCTAAAAGACAATCATACATGATAAACGTTTTTGCTTTCAGGATCATGGCTTAGGATTTAAAAAAAAAATTATTTCTAGCAAGGGAAAACATGCATTTCACAAAAAAAAAAAAAAAAAAAAAAAAAAAAACCAGAGAAGAATGAAGCCAGTAAATCATTTAATCATGCTGGGTCATAGTTGGTCTGCAAAATATTCTCCCTAGAAACAGATCCAAAAATCCCTTTCATCATCTCTAAGTACTCCCTGACATATTACCCTCTCTTTCTCAAACAGAGAACCAGATGCTTTTTCCTCTGTGCTCAAACTGCAACTAGTACGAGTCTCCATTGGAACTCCATTGTATGATAATTATTATATACTTCACTTCTACTAGACTGTGAGCTTCTAGACAGCAATAAACACACCAGTGTTCTGGTATCCCCCCCATCCTTACAATAATATCTATCTGGTAAGGATATTTTGATACCTTCATTTTTACCAAGCAAACATTTTGATCCTATATACTAACAGAGAAAAATATTCAGGGCTTCTATTTTAAATTGTAGACTATGGGGCAAAGGACATGAACAGACACTTCACCAGAGAGGATATCCAAGTGGCCAACAAACGCATGAAAAGATGGTCAGTGTTGTCATCAGCCATTAGAGAGATGCAAATCAAAACTACAACGAGATACCACTTCACCCCTATTAGAATGGCAATGATCAAACAAACAGAAAATAACAAATGCTGGCAAAGATGTCGAGAGATTAGAACCTTTACCCACTGCTGGTGGGAATGTAAAATGGTACAGCCTTGTAGAAAACAGTATGGCGATTCCTCAAAAAATTTAAAATAGAACTATTATATGACCCAGCAATTCTACTCCAAGGTATATACCCTAGGGACCTAAAGGCAGTGACGTGAACAGACATATGTACACCTATATTCATATCAGCACTATTCACAATAGCAAAAAAGTAAAAACAACCTAAGTGTCCATCAATGGATAAGTGGATAAACAAAATGTGGAACATACATACAATGGAATACTGTTCAGCCATAAAGAAAAATGAAGTACCGATACATGCTATAACATGGCTGAATCTGGAAGACTTTATGCTGAATGAAATAGGTCAATTACAAAAGAAGACATACTGTATGACCTCACTTACATAAAATGACAAGAATAGGTAAATATACAGAGTGCAATGGTTATTAGTGTTTACCTCCCTTTGCCATGAGACCAGAAGAACTGGATGGTGCCTGGCTACCATCACTGAATGTTCTGAACAAGGGCTCAATAGATGAGTCCTGATGAAAAGGGGGAAAATGTGGAAAATAATTCAAATTTCTTATAGAATCCAGACTTACTGGATCCATTGAGGCTGTAGGAGCCCCCGAATCTGTTGCCCAGAGAAAATTTTTGAACCTTGAACTGAAGCTATTACCTGAAGTCATTTTCAAACTAAACAACAGTTTACCTGAATTAATGAAGAATGTTTGCCTTAATCATTGTACTCTTTTAAAGAATTATCTATAATAGATCAAATTGACAATAGTAACTCTAAAGCACAGCTGAGTAGTTTATGGGCCAGTGAGTCTAAGTCAATGATGGTGAAATAATATGAGGAGAGACAGCGAGAATGGTGACACAACGTAAAGAATGTAAGCAATGTCATTGAACTGTGCATGTAGAAATCGTCGAATGGGTGTATGATATGCTGTGTATATTTTTTAAAAAACTGCAGACTATGTAGAGAATGATACCCACAAATCAATATTTATTTTTGTATGCATATACCTGTAAAAACACTGAAAAGATATCTCGATGTGTACCAGAGAAACAGAGAAGTTACCGCTGGGGAGGGAAGTGGAGACAGTGACATTTATTTTGTCTAGTGAAGCGCAGTGGTTAAGAGCTCGCCTGTTAACTAAATCAATTTCTGAGGCCAACTCTTCAGACAGGGATTGGACTGGACTGTGGGACATAAAGTGATACTCGTGAGCAGTGTGCCTCTTAGCTCAAATAGATACAAGAGACTAAACGGGCAGCTTCTGTCTGGAGATGAGATGGTAAGGCAGAGAGGGTTAGGAGCTGGCTGAATGGACATGGGGAATCCGGCAGAAAGGAGGAGCGTGCTGTCACAGTATGGGGAGAGCAATTAGAGTCACATAACAATGTATGTATAAATTTTTGTACAGGAAAAAATTAAAAAAAAAAAAAAAGAATCACAAAAGTCCTGTGAACTCACCTCCCCATTAGTAAAGATGTTCAAGCATTTAAAAAAAAAAAAAAAAAAAGAGCTCGCCGTTAACCAGAAGGTCGGCAGTTTGAAACCATCAGCTGCTGCTTGGAAATTCTATGGGGTAGTTGTACTTTGTCCTTTAGGGTTCCTATGAGTTGGAATTGACTTGATGACATCCGGTTTGGTTTTTTGGTTTCTGAATATATTATGATGAGGGTACACTCACATAGTACTGGTGTAATTTAAAATAAATTTAAAAGATGAAAAAAAAAAAAAGATTCAAATCTAGCCCAGTCAAGGGGGAAGGGAGGGAAACAAACATTTAATGGAATAAAAACAATTCAGCTGACTTGATAATCAGAGCAATTTTCTACATGGAATAAAGTTTCTATTTTTCTCCCTTTCAATTTTATTTTACTGAATCTATTTAAGTCAAGATCAAGTCTTTTCTAGAGTAAACTTTACAATAAAGATTTGATTTACTGATCAGTTTTTGGGTCCAAAAAAAATTTCAATAATTATATTCTGTCATTGTAAATTTTCTTTTGTGGCCGTTATTACCCAGCCTGGTTTTCTCAGGTGACGTTTTACTGATTTGTCAGGAAGTTTTGAGTATTTTGTCCTCTTTTACTCAATAATAAACTGGTACAGCTTAGCTTACAAATTTTATTTTGTGTCAAAACTTCCTATCAAGCCTATTTTTTCTCGGCAACGCAGTCAAAACAGCCTTAGGATCAAAATGATGAAGGAGACAGAAATAGTAAGATCAAAACATCTTAACGATAAAAAAAATCCTGCTTTGATGCCCAGCACACAGTATATTCTCAATAAATGTTCTAACACTGGACAGTCTACCTCAATGAACTGGTAGAACCCCCATATTTCCCCCAAGTCAAATTTGGTAACCCTCCTCTTTCCTACTCTTCTTTAATTAATGGTGCCTACACTTTCCCAGCTACCCAGATTCAAAACCTGGCTCATCTCTTCATTCAATTAGTTTTTGTTTTTTAAATTATGCTTTAGCTGAAAGTTTACAGTGCAAATTAGTTTCTCATTCAAAAATTTACACACAAATTATTTTGTGACATTGGTTGAAATCCCCGTATTGTGTTAGCACGCTCCCTCTTTCCCTTTTCCAACCCGGGTTCCCTGTGTCCATTTGTCCAGTTTTCCTGTCCCTCCCTGCCTTCTCACCTTTGCTTTTGGGCAGGCGTTGCCCATCTGGCTCATATACTTGACTGAATCAAGAAGCACGTTCCTCATCTGTGTTACTGTTTAATAGGTCTGTCTAACCTTTGGGTGAAAGATGGATTTTGGGAGTGGCTTCAGCTCTGAGTTAACAGGGTGACTGGGGCCATAGTCTTGGGGGTTCCTCCAGTCTGTGTGTTCTTTTTTTGTGTGTGTGTGAATCTGAATTTTGTTTTACATTTTTCTCTGGCTCTGTCCGGGACCCACGATCGCAATCACTGTCAGAGCAGTCAGTGGTGGTAGCCGGGCACAATCTAGTTCTTCTGGGCTCAGGCTGGTGGAGGCTGTGGTTCACAAGGTCGTTTAGCCCTTTGGACTAATATTTTCCTTGTGTCCTTGGTTTTCTTCATTCTTCACTGCTCCAGACAGGATGGGACCAACAGATGTATCTCAGATGGCCGCTCGCCAATTAGCTCTTGATTCCATCTCTTGGCAGTACTTCTTGCATCAGTCTTTTACTTCCTATTCCTCATTACAACTATCCTAAATTAAGACTTCATGTCCTAGTACCTGGATTATTTTATGTTTCTTGTTTTTATGCCTTTAATTTTCTCTTCTCCAACTGAATTTACATACCACCATCAAATGAGTCCCCAAACCCTGCTTTTAGTCCTCAGGTACAAAAGACTGAGTTAACCATACTCTTCAGTTCATGATACATTATCATCATTCATCTGTATAAGACCCTTCTTCTAACTGATTTACTTCCTTCCATCTCAATTTCCAATCCCCATCCCCTTTCCAACAAGCCATTCTTTCAGTGTGCTGATGTGCATTCTTCTGTTTGTATGTATTCTTACCTTTACCCTCTGCACTAGGTTTCAAAAACCTATCCATCTTGCCACGGTACACTTATAAATACATATATATATTTATTGTTGTGCTTTAAGTGAAAGGTTACAATTCAAGTTAGTCTCTCATACAAAAATTTATACATACATTGTTTTGTGACTCTAGTTGCTCTCCCTATATTGTGACAGCACACTCTTCCTTTCCACCCCGGATTTCCCACGTCTATTCAACCAGCTCCTAACCCTCTCTGCCTTTTCATCTAACCTTCGGACAGGAGCTGCCCGTTTAGTCTCATCTATCAACTTGAGCTAAGAAACACACTCCTCACGAGTATCATTTTAGGTCCTATAGTCTGGTCTATGTCTGAAAAGTTGGCCTCGGGAATGGTTTTAGTTTTGGGCTAACAGGGAGTCCGGGGGCCGTGTCTTCCAGGGTCCCTCCAGTCTCAATCAAACCATTAAGTATGGTCTTTTTACTAGAATTTGAATTCTGCACCCCACTTTTCTCCTGCTCCATCAGGGACTCTCTGTTGTGTTCCCTGTCAGAGCGGTCATTGGTGGTAGCTGGGCACCATTTAGTTCTTCTGGTCTCAGGCTGATGAAGTCTCTAGTTTATATGGCTCTTTCTGTCTC